TATATATATATAGATATATATATATTTTTTTTTGTAGATTTCACAGTCATTTAATGTGGTATACATTTAAAAAAGGAACAATACATAACTCAAACCTTAATTATACCGTAATTCAATTTTAAGAGAAAATTTTTAAAAGTTCAAAACTCGGGTAGTAATTAAAAAATATTATAAATAAAATAAGTTCTAATAAATATAGATCTTAAAATAACGCTTTAATTTAGCTACCATTCTCCAAAACAACAAATCATAACAAATTTGGAAGACCAAACAAACTAGAAAAGCAACATAGACCTTTCCGGAGCAAATTACCACTATCGGAATCTAATTATTCGAAAATCAACAAACTATTGCGATCACAAATTGAAATCTATCAGAAGATCGAACAAAGATAAAATCTACAGAGAACTTCGCCAAAACAAATAACTTCTATTCTCAAATCCGAAATCTAGTAAAGTGTGACATGTGAACTATAACCTATAACCTGCAAACATAAATTAGTGATATGAGACCATACGACCTTTGATGTGAACAAATTGTGAGTCTTGATTACAATTTTAATCACAAGTTCACATTTTTTAAAGTCGAATATTATTTATTGATCACAAATTATCTATTTTATTGATGACAAATTAATCTAAGTTTATTGGTTACAAACTGTCTTTATACGACCTCAATCCAACCCAAACTCAGTACCACCTGCAGCATCACCGTCACCGCCACACCTCCACGGCTCATCGATTCAGAAAAACCACCCACAAAAAGTAACCAACAAACTACCCCGCAGCAAACAAGTCATCCAAACAAGAAAATAACATACAAACAAAATAGGAAACACGCACCACCACTATCACCAATCACCCCCAATCACCACAATTGTCACCGATCATCGCTACTGCTGACATTCCAAAATTGAAACTCATACAGCTCGGATTGCTAGTATCAAAGCTCCCGGAGGATGGAGGTTTTTACTGCCTTAATAAAGACTTCTCAATTGTCGTTGATTGCAGCAACTTTGAAGTCGCAGCCGACAACGGGAGGTTGTCCACTGCTTGGCCGTAATTTATCCCGATGAACGACTCTGACTTTAGTAAAACTACACAAACAAAAATTCCCCTAGCTACACCGCTGCGCAGCCAGGTGCCGCTGTGTGCAGCTCTGACCGATGCCGAAATGGGTGGGTGGGTAGAGAGAGAGGAGAATAGAGAATAAAGAGTGGAACTGCTTTGAGAAGCTTCACTCTGCTTCAAGAATGGATAACACGATAAAAGAATGAGCCAAGATATATACATGGTCAGACAACGGAATCTGAAAAAATGTTTTTGGTGGTGGTGTGGTCGTCGAATTTGCGAGTGAAGAGAAAGAAGAGAGGTAAATGAGGGATTGATAGTATTGGCAGCGGTGGTCAAAAAGCTCGACGGCTCGGGCTCGGTCGCACCGAGCTAAGGCTCGGACCAAGCCCCATTTTGGGGCATCGGCCAGAGCTGGGGTCGGCCCGTGTCCAGCAAAGAAATTAAAAAATAAGAAATAATAAATAATAAATTTTGAATTCAAAATAAAGTTGCCTGTTGTGCAGGCAGCTACAAATTAAATGCATGCAGGAAGCTAAAGAGGCAGCTACAAATTAGCTGCAAAGAGCTGCCTGCACACAGTTGGCGTGCACGCAAGCTCGCAACTACAAAATTTGAATTTGAATTGAATTGTCTTGTAAAAAATTTAAATTTGTAAATTAAATATAGTTAAAATGGATATATTTTTTTGTCTATAAATACGAAAAATTTTTTACAAATTCATGTCAATCTATCTCAAATTTCTTTACGCAATATTTTGTATTTTACTCTCCAATTTCTTTTACTCTATTTTTCA